AAGGTATATACTGTGTATGTCCAAATGTGGTACATATACTTTGATAGACACCAAGCATATTGAATAGAAGGTCGGTTGAAAACTTATTCCTTTACAAGGGGCTGCTTTTTACAAGAAAACTACTAAACCAAACATTCTTAACGGTGAAATAGAAGTCATATCTTCGTTAAGTTTAAGAGATAATCTGTGGCACAGATTATTTTTGTTTAGGAGCTGGCTTAAGCCCGCCTAAGGGTGCGGGATGTTCTCGCTGTGTTGAAGACCCATTGGTAACTTTCTGCTGTTTTCTGCTCTTTGGTCGGGTTGTTGTCTCTTTGACACTTTTCCCATTTCCATTCTCAATTTTAAGGTCTGCTTCCTCATACCTAGTACCAGAACTTTGGCCTATCAATTGAGAACAGAGGGCCGTTGAATACGATCGTGATGATTTTAATTGTTCAAATCAGGATGTTTTTGGAGTATATATGCACAATTAGTTACTTAGATTTTTAAGGTTACACGATACCGAATGACATTACGCCACAAGTTATCGTTCCTGCTGTTGTCGACATCCATAAAATTGACGGCAAACGTAAAACCTGATGTTTTAAAATAACTTAGAACGAATTAAACAAACAATTTGCCTCAGTCTGATATAAAATAGTCGAAAGATAAATGTATCTTTATTTCAAATTTGCATATATATATAATTATATATTAAAAATACCTTCATTTTAGCGTCGTTCATATATACAAGTCAATGCAGCAAATTTTGTCGGGTTTCGGGCGGTTGACAACACAATACATGTAGGCTCTATATATGCTGTTCTTTTATCGCGAAAATAAAATAACCTTTTATTTGTGGTAAACATTTTTCATTGTAACTTTGCATAGATGCAGAGTGCCGAGAGATTTTATGCAATACGTTATTTGACATTGATTACTTCGATCCCGTTCTTCTTCTCATTCTATTACTGTTTTAAATGTTCTGTATCTATTTATAAGTAAGCATGTGTACGATTTATCTATATATGTTCTTATGCATAATAGATTGAGTTTTTTTTCATTCTTGGTTGAGTTTTTTGCAATAATTTCTTTTTTATAATGCACGCCGTTTCCCTATGAATTTTTTTTTTAAAGTAGAAATCCAAATTATAGAAATGCAGGATAATGTGTGAAAATACGGGGAATTGTGCCATAACCACACTACAGAAACACATATTACATATCTTTATAGTCATTGTGTCATAGTGGAGAGCAGTAAAGGCATGTTAAGAAAGAAAATGTCAATAACAAAATCTAACATCAAGTGGAACGTCTAGAAACAATATGATATAACATGAAATCATCATGACAATAAACAGACATATACATGCATATAATACAGGAATAATGAAACTGCATATATTATGTAAGCAGTAAATTAGTTAAGTTGCATAGCATTTTTAAATGTTTACGTTCTCCAGATATTTCTTTATGTGAAACTCGTAATTTTACACTAATTGATCGGGGCTGTCGCAAGCTGAACCAAATCTGCAAGATGATATTCGATTGCATATACAAGGATATCGAATCAGGCAGGAGTAAATAAAAGTTACACATAAGACATAATTTCAAACAGCATTCCACAAATGTGAATACAAAATATTTGTTGTAACCACGTTAGATGTCCTTGAATTTTTTTTTATATATATCGGAAAGAGAAATATCAAATCTAAAATAGCAAATGTTCAGGTAAATCTAAATATTTAAAACGCACATTTCAGGTAATTACCTTGATTGACAAGTTCTTTCCATATTTTACGGGACATTTAATACAGCTGTTTTACTAGAATTTTAATTATGTTGGGTGTTTGCCTAGTGATCAATTGATCGTAAGTTGATTTGTCTGGGAAAAAAACACGTATATCATGCAATTTAGTATTACATTATGTTGTACGTTTTCTATTTAGCGAGAGAATTGTTTTGTTACACTGTTTGACGTCCCGGTTTTTCCATGGTCATGCGATTCCCTCTTTTGTTTATTTACCTTCATTTGTGTTTTTTTTGAACATTCAATAATACGTCTTTCACGTTTATAAATGACATAATAACCTTACAAACTGAAAATCTATACATATAGGGCGTGCCAGATAGAAATGGATCCCATACCTACATCTTTGCACCCTAATGAATGATTGACGTCAAGTAATATGCTAAAATGGAAAGTCCGTTTGGTTGTGCGGGATGTATAAATACGCGCCACGTCCGCGCGGAAACGTCACGCTAAATTCAATACCTTGTGATGGATGAGTGTCTTTCTCTCTATGCACTTAAAACCTCCACAACTCTCTTCTGAGGGGTAGCCTGTTGCATGGCAAAATGTCTGCCCCTATTCAACACATCCTCATTTTTAAGTGGAAATCAAAATTTCCCGCCCTAAATTCATCCCGGTCGACCTCCTTTGCAGAACCTACCTATTGTATTAGTTGTTTAATTTGTTCTTGTCCTGAATTTGCAAGAAATTTGCCACTGAACGTTTAGCAAGCAACAAGCAGTCGATCAACCTTAAACTAGGTAAAAAAACTTAATTGGTGAAACTACATTATGTCATGATAACATTTGTTTTATAATGTGTTACCTAAATTTTCAATAACTATGTTTGCAATGCAATAAATATGTAATTGTATTATATACCATTCAGTAAGCATTATGCATGTCTTAAATATAGAACTTATGCGTACGACAACATAATTACCTCGGCCAGAAAATTTTAATCGTTTATTTACCGTGAGCCTCAGTTTTAGTCCTGATGGTGTCTGAACGACTTTAATCGCCTATTTCAATTTATTTACACTAAATGCAACAAATATTTCTCACTCACTAAAGTAAGCTATGTTCACTTGATTGTAACCGAACAGTCCAGTTGGAAATGGATAACATATAATTCATTCATCAATATACCATCAAAATCAATTTCAATGCTACATTTTGCTGTTAAAGACAATATTGCAAATTTTTCGTGCTTTTGTAAATTTTTGCATCGAAGAACATCCTAAACCAAAATGAATTATTTTCTATCCAAAAAACTATATATAGAATTACTTCTTATATAATTTTGGTTTTGGTTAACAATGTCCTTCCTATTCATTTGTTGAATCATTATCAAAATGTTGCCAAATTGTATCAGAATATTTGTTTTGAGGCATCTTTATGTTCGTAAATACGCAAAAATGTTACAACCTCAAAGAACAATCTATGATACAGCGAATTTTATCAAAGATCGATAGACATTTCGAAAATGGCCCTTGTGGAGAAAAACATTCAGCAAAAAATTGCCTTTACCTCTGTTGCTGTTGAATAAAATTTTGAACTCTTGTGCTCGGGAAAGTTAAAACAGTTTTGGTTCTTGTCGGTTGCTCGTGGAAATCAGGGAACTTTTGTTAGAAAAAGCAAACTAAATATATAGAATTTAAAGATATATAACGTACTTTTTTGTCTCCTTCGGAAGCTTCTGTATAAAGTCTATCCCATAAAAACGAGGGAAAAGTTTAAACTTTGGCGAAAAAAATGCAAAATAGATTCTCTTTTGTGTTAAGTTCAAATAAAGTAACAGTTATTGCATGTCAAAGCAACACCTTATGGTGTCTTGTACTGAAAAAATCAACATGCCTTTAATTGCATATAAGGGAATATTGGTTCCCGTAACTTGGGAAGTACCAAAACAGGTACTTCAGATCTGAGAAACAGGAAAAATGTACCCTCATTTTTAAATTTCGTACAATTTTGTTTAAATGAAAAGTCAAAAAGGGTTCTACAATGATCAACAGTCATTCAACTTTCATTTGATATCAAGATTACCAAAGTATTCTACATATTTTGAAAGTTATACCCATGCGTAGGAACTATATTGTTTTTAATGTGTACTACTTTCTGGTATGTTCTTTCAGAACGGGCCCGAACTAGTGGTGTTACACCTTCTCCTTTTCGGGGTACCTATATTCGTTGGTGATGCTACACAGTGGTTAAGGATAACGATGGTGTAGTTGCTATAACTCACTTATAATAATATAATTTTAATAGTGCAGGACTGTAAATTATTAAGAGAACAGAAATATTCAAGGCATGGATATCATTGATCTATGCCCGATGTGTAATTAAATCGTTTTTTTTTCTCCCATAAATTTCTATTGTCTGTAATTTGTATGACTGAGTTTCTATCGTTCAACGTTAATCAGTGCTATTCAGCAATATACCGGGTAAAAAGTGCAACTAAACGTAATGGGTCTTGATGGCGAACTATAAAGGTGTATTTCTACTACTAGTAAGCTTCGAGTACTTCCTGTTTCGAACGCGAAAGGTTATAAAATCAACTGATTTAGTTCAAGATATCCTAACCTTAAGTCTTAAGTTAGAATTGAGGACAATTTTAATGCCAGCGTATTATAAGTATAGTTAATACTCCTAAAATATGCGATCGACATTTTGAATTCCACCGAATAAAGGAAGTGATTGGTAAATTAAACGCCGCTTACCTTAAGGTTAGTCGTCCTTATGTTTGGTTTATACGATTGAAGACAACCAAAAGGAACAGAATAGTAACTGTACATGTAATCGATAAAATTGCCTAAAGTGACGATGTGTATATAGCAATGCACAATAATAGTTTTAAAAGTCATTGGAACTAACAAAGTGCAAATAATTTTCGAAGAAATAAGTCTGACATGTCAGGAGCTTAATTAATTGAGAGCACAGAATACGACATTAATGGAACATGAAATAATTTGGGTTAATCAGAGACATATATATGTCTCTGGGTTAATACATCAACATTATTTACAAGTCAATTGAAAAAAACAACTGATTGTTTCTAAAATGTAAAAACTGTTATTCATCATACTGGTATAGTATAATAAGAAGAAGGAATGATAAATCAGTTTTATAAAATATGTGATTCCAAAAATTTTTTGTTAATATTTAGAAAAGTAAAATATTTTAAAACTCATTTATACTTTGACATATTATAAATTGTAAACACTCACCTTTTCAGTCGAGCACCAACTAGCAGAAGATCTCTCAAATAGAATTATGAAAAGGAAAACACTTAGATTAGACATGTTCAGAATACTAACTATGGTCCATATATATGAAGATATTTTTTTTTCTCTATTAAGAATTCACGTAACGAAGAAGAATTACATTGTATTATAATTTTTTTCTACACCCTGTATTCCGTTTACTGTAATTCCTCAAACTGGTATAGTATAATGAGAAGATGGAATGGTAAATCAGTTTTATAGAATATGTGATTCCAAAATTACACGTGATCTTCGGTACATCCTTTCGATCCCACGTGGTCACCGTGTTCATCGATTTTGGTCAATATACTGTATTCCATTCAGCGATGCTCAACATTGGAACTATTGTACTTTGTTCTCATTCAAAGCTTTTAATATTGTATGCCAAGACATTTTGAAAGATCGGAAATGTAGATTGAACTGCGAAATAAGTTTTTACTTCCGCAAAGTTCAGATTTTTATATATCCATTTAAACATTTGTAATGCGACCCTGTTTTAGAAACAATTGAAAAGTGTAAAAGAAAATTGAGTTTTATATCAATTAAGGCGACACTCAAGTATTATATCTCACACGATATAAATAGCTGTATGTATTAATGGTAACATGAATCTATTATGAAGATGATTTAAAAATGAAGTGTAATCTTGTAGCTAGATTATCAAAATAGAAGAAAAAGAATTGTATAAAATGCAGTGTATTTAATACGAATAAACATGCAGTTAGCGATGTAATACCAAAGGTTTAAGTTACTAAGGTTAAATAATTAAGGTTTTCCAAAGCTCAGTTTGGTATACATTATTGTATGGAATAAATACTAGATCCTCTTCTACATAAGTATTGTAAGGCCACGTCTACGACAGAAGCTAGGCGGCATTATTTTTTCCTGTCTGTCTGTCCGTCCGTTCCTTATCAGGTTAAGAGGATTAGTGCACTGGGCAATAACAAGTTTATAAGGTACTGTTTTCATCAATTTGCAATGTACTCTAAACCTGATTTATTTATCATCAAGTTAATAACGTATCCCTTATATAACTATTTCTCTAACTGACATGCGTCATCTCAGTTTTAAAATAAAGCTTATGTTATCGAAGGTGTATCAGTTTCTTTATTATTTTGTTTATGATATTGAGATCATTATGGGACTCTGTGCATAGGTTCAGCATGCTTCTCATGAACACACTTAACCCAAAGATATCGTGTTCATGTAATAAAATTGAGAATGGAAATAAGGAATCTGTCAAAGAAACAACAACCCGACCATAGAGCAGACAACAGCCGAAGGCCACCAATGGGTCTTCAATGCAGCGAGAAACTCCCGCACCCGGAGGCGTCCTTCAGCTGGCCCCTAAACAAATATGTATACTAGTTCAGTGATTATGGACGTCATACTAAGCTGTATTGTCACACCGATATTGTTAAGCTTCGTGACAGAACATTTAAGTGTAAGTGAGGTGGCGATTATATAACAAATTAAGGCAACAGTAGTTTACTGATATTCAAATCTAATAAATCTATTAAGAAGACAAATCACAGTAACAAACAAACGCCGAGGGAATAGCATGAACTCCAAACGCAGCGAGACCGGGTGCGTCGACAGGGTAAGCGTCTCCTGCTACTATGCAGGCATCACCCGCCATGCGAATCCACACTCAATTAAAATGTCACAATCGGGAATAGACAATCCATAAAATTACAGATTAGAAGAAACTTGTATCTAAAGATCTAAAACCGAAAGCATGTCGCTAGTGAGTAGCGACACAAACATATCGTATCAGTCAACCAATTCCTGATGGTGACTCTAAACCTTTTGTAATGTCGATTTCTGTCATTCTACCTCATAACTCAGTTGGATCAGTTTTTGTGTAAGCATCACATTCCTGTTAATGAAGTCCGTTTAGGGTGGACATACACGAGTGGAACGTATCTATTGAGATATGTCAAAGTCAAACGTATCACACTGTATGTAATCGGTGTCCTCTATGAAATGTGCCTTAATTCGCGTTCTTTTGGCTTTCATTTTGCAACACCACATGACAGCAGTAGATTCGATTTGGTATGTTTATTTTGCACAAGGTCGTGCTTTTCTAAGACCGTTCATTGTGTCTCTACACTAAATATATTGGATGTGTACTGATTGATATTTTAGTCTAGGAAAGCATGATTTATTTATTAGTTGAAATTGGTTTTGAACCTGCTTTCAGTTACTTCAAGTACACTTAGGTCAGCACTTTTTGAATTTTGTCTTTTCCTATGTGTTCCTTTTCTTCGTGCCGATTTGACGAGTCTACCCTTTCCAACTTATTTTTACAGTTTGATGTGTTGTAACACGACTGCTCTAGTTTAGTGATTGATTGAGTGCTCATAAAAATGTTAAATCCCCGTAACATTCTCTAATTGCCTGTCTAAAAATAGAAACCTGTAGTTCAGTGGTTGTCTTTGTTTAGTGTCTGCAATATTTGTTTTTCGTTTAATGTTTTTAGAATAGATAAAATCGTTTTTTATATCCTCGCCCTTTGGTCTCTGGTGTTTTATTTGTAACCAAATCACATTTCTTAATCTTATTTTGAGCAAAGAAAACAAAATTATGCATATGTAACTTCTTGATATTATTATATGAATTTCATTTGATATAATAAAAAGTAAAATAACAAAAAAACTCCAAGTAAAATTCAAATCGGAAAGTCCCTTATTAAATGGTAGGATCAAAAAATTAAACACATCAAACACATCAAACGAATGGAAAACAACTGTCATATTCCTGTCTTGGTACAGGCATTTCCTTATGTAGAAAATGTTGGATTAAAGTTTGTTTTATAGCTAGCTAAACCTCTCACTTGTCATGATGACAGTCGCATAAAATTCCATTATAGTGACAACAATGTGTGAACAAAACAAACATACATAATAGGTAAAAATGTCAAAAATAGGGGTACATCAGTCAACGTTGTGTTATAATCTTAATCACTATAAAAACAAACAAATATGTCAAGAAAGAAAAACAAAATGGCATATAGACATAGCACATAAGCAAAAATGAAAGACAAGAATACAAAAAATGACCGCAGCACAACACCATATTGGCGGGATGCATAAGTACCGAGCTACGCCAAAAGGATATTACCAAACATGGACTAAACAGTGAAGGTTAATAATTTACAAAGACAAATAAAAGAACACTTTAACACGTAATTAAGATGATAAACAACGTCAGTTCCTAGAATCTATACCTCAAGACCATCATGTATTATTTGTAAAATTGATACGGAATATTTATCAACAAGGTCTTGGTATCTTCTGATGAAATTTTACAGAAAAAGGACGAGAAATCTTTGACATAACCCTGGTTCATCAACTTTCTGCTCAGACACTAGTGACGTTTTACAAAGTCTGGGTAGCAGCTGCAAGCTACGGAAGCCGATAAGGGTCATTAAAAAAAATAAATTTATGTCGTAATTACGACATAGTGATGTCGTTATTACGACATGCTATGTCGAAATTACGACATAGTTATGTCGTTATTACGACATGCTATGTCGTAATTACGACATAAATTTATTTTTTTGAATGACCCTTATCGGCTTCCGTAGTAGACACATGAATAGCGAAGAAATGTGAAATCCTCGCCAGTTGATCATTGGTCTTTCTTTGTGCGTCTTTTCTTCTGGAAAAAAATGCATTTTTAAAACCGAACTATATTTCACCAGGAAATTTCAAATAGCTGGTGAAATATCATACCTTTTGAGAAATCTATGATATAAAACTATAAAAATAAGAACAGTGGTATGATTTCCAATGAGACAACTAAATTATTACGCATCACCGAGAACATTTATCACCACACCAATAGCCCTATACTAAGTACTCCTTTCCGAAAAGATAGAGAAAATTTCTGGATAAGGGAACTAGGTACTGCAATGCCATATGGTCGCAATGATAACATCAAAGGAGTAGGAAATTTGTCAAGTCCAGCCTGCAGTGATGTAAATGTAATGAGCTTATTTGATACTACTTTTTTCACTGCCTGTTAATTTTCTAAAATGTTTGAGAGATTATGCACTTGAAAAGGGATGCATAAATACATTATCTCCAATATACAGACTGGTCAGTAAAGTTTGTGATGTAGATCTTTTCCGTCTTTTTAAACCAGAAAGATCGGAACCTTTGTAAGATCGGAACCTTTACATGATGAAAAGAGGAAATTCCTTCCAATTCAGTTTTCAAATAAAGGAATTGATGCAATCAACATCAGTAACGTTCTTCATCACAAGGAGGTAACATCTAAAATCCCACTTTATTTTCCATATCAGTCTGTTCCTATTGTATCCTATAGTTACACCAAAACCATTGCACCTAAAGTATTAAACTATAAGCAAGTATTGCAGGACCTTGATTTAGAAAAATACCTAAAAAAACCTCTGACATGACTTGTGACTGTTCCCAAACGCCTTATATTTACAGCCCCTCTGGCCATGTTAATACTGGGGATCTAAACATAATTCAACATGAACATCTCCTAAAGGTAATATATCATGATCCTAAGTTCAGAGAGTCCCAACACATCAATTGGAACCATAACTTCAAAATAATTATAGATTCCACTGAGGACTACGCCAGAGCATGGGCTAAACGAGAAGAAGTTGAACTGGACACTTTGTCAGAATGGGTTAAAACAATCAGGTCTCTGATGAAACGTCGAATTTATAAGTTGAAAAACTGTGTGAATGATCGACCAAAGTCCGTTTTCAGAGACAAAGAAGCTGTGAAATGTCTATCATCTCTTCACGATAAATATGTTGTTGTTCCTGCGGACAGAGCTTCAAATAATATTTTCTTTGTATGTAAATCGTACTACTACGAGTGTCTTGTAAAAGAATTAGGAATAATTGAGCACTCAGGTAATCCCACATATAAAACATATCATTTGACAAAGATGAGATTTTGGCGAACATAAATCATTCAGGGCTTCAATGAACATTACATTGAACATCTAATCTGAGGACTTACCTTGTTTGTATTGGATACACAAGCTTCACAAAATTCCGTACAAACAACGGTACACTGCCGGGTCATCTGCATGTTCTATAAAGGAGTTGTCCATTAGATTGACAAAAATTATGTCCGCAGTGAAAGGGGGTCTTCAAAAATACACTGAAACTGTTTACTCGTGTAGTGATATTAACCATATGTGGATTCTAAAAAACTCTAAAGAACTTC